TCTGGAGGAGTCGTTGGCTGCTACACGACCCAGGCCTGTTTTGAAAAATTAAACCTGTGATAAGACAACATATCAAGATATATTATCATATAACTAAAGATGAACTGTTCACAATTTTATCTAGCTCTCAGTTTTAAGAAAGGCTGGTGACCCCTGCTATAGAGTCTGACAGCTGCAGGGATTATATACAAATATTCAACTGAATCTATACCAGAATTAAACCAGGTCTAAATAAAAAAAGGACTTTATAAGATAGACCTGAGTATCACTAGCAATCAGAGGTGGAAAGAGTACTCACTCAAGTACAAGTACTGTTACACTGGTTAAGTTGTACTCAATTACAAATAAGTACTGGTGTTAAAAAAATACTTGAGTAAAAGTACAAAGTACTCTTCTCAAAAACTACTCAAAGTATTAATTACTTTTTAACAGACTGATGTTTTATTCTGTCGTCAATAGCAGGCATTCGACTCGATTCACCAGTATAAATATTTATGTTCAAAGCACATTTCTCAGATGAACAAGGTATAGAAAGGTAACTTGTTTTGTAAATAAATGTAGATGTAAAAGAAGGAATTTTGTTTGTTAAAACAATGACAAATATGTTTCTGAACATGCGTAGAACCATTTAAACTTTTCCCCATACACTGAACAACAGGCAGGTCTTAAACTCTTAGCGTTTCTGTCACACTTTACTTTCTGAACCTTTCGTTCAGTTTCAGCTGGTTTTCTAAATTAACAGAGGCAATCCGACTTCGTTTGGCTGAAGAGTAAACCAGCACAGCTAAAAAGTCGTTCACACGCAGCAGAAGCAGGCAGAGCTGTGTTCAGTTTAAGAGAGAGGCTTTTGATGGCTGAGGAGTGCAGCAGCTCCATGGTGTCTGTGGCACAAGCAAGGTAACCATCAAGCTCAGCTGCACTTTGGTCTGGAGAAGAATTCATCTTCATCAGATGACTCTTTGCTGATCCTCACTCTCATGCTCCGTCGTTTCAAGATGTTGTTTGATGCATGTGAAGGCTGTAATTGCAGGTAGAAACACAATTTTGTTATTTAAATTTCAGTGATTATTCCTGAACACAAATTTAAAATCGGCAAATTCTCAAAAAGGATTGTTTAGTATTCAGGACAGACCATCAATAACTTACAACGTATTAGGTGAAATACTCACTTAAGCATGTGTTCAAATGTAAAAATACACAAAAGTGGGATCACATGAATCCTTACCAGCCTCTGTTACATCTGCTCTGTCAGTCCAGGAAGTCTTGAACTTGGGTAAGAGGACTGCAGCTGCAGCCAACTCTGGATCCTCCATCATCGTCCAAAACGCTTTTGAAGGCCATTTTGCAGGGCTCTGATGAGTGGCACACGCTTGATGTCTCCAGCCTGCTACGTTTGGACAGTAGTTGTTGGATTACTGGCAGGAGCCATCCCATAAAGGAAGTGGACTCAGACTGAAGAATGTTTGAAGCTTTCACCAGTGGCTTCATGGTGGTACAGTACTCCCTAAGGAATGCAACTTCTGCAGGACTCAACCTGTAAGACACAACAACAAAACCCACCATGACTATAACAGGGATCTTCTGATTTAATATTCAGAGTCTGCTCACGTTTTTAACCATCCATTAAGGAAAATTCACAAAATTTGCAACCGTATTGGTAGGTGTCCAATTTTACTCACATTTTCACCTTGAACTCCCCACAAATGCTCCTGATGGCATCTTCCTCCTTCTCATCAATGATGCACACTATCCTGTCAATGGCAAGGTAGGTTGAATTCCACCGTGTTGCATTGGGACGAATGATCTGTAGCTCACACTTGTCCTCTACCACTTCATTAGCCAAATGAGACCGGCCAGTTTTGTTCCAAATGGCCTGGCATTTTGCAAAGGTTGCACGGGAGAGCCTCTTGTAGGTGTCACTCATGCTCTCTGCTAGGGCAGCGTCAGATGTTGCCACAAGGTTTAGCAGGTGACATGCACATCGCTGATGAGGCGGGAGTTGATACTCCAAACCAGAGTCTTCATCAAGAATTGCACCTGCCTCATGGTAGTCACTATGGTCAGTCAGGTCAAGAGTTTCTGGGTCTGCTTCATCTTCAACTTCATCTGCATCATTTTGTGCCCCAAACATGTGGAAGGCCTTGACAAAGTTGGATCCACTATCAGTTGTGGTTCTTACAACTTTGCCTCTAATCTTGTACTGGCAATGGATATCATCAAGCGTACCAGCAAGCAAGTCAAATGTGTGAGACCCTCTCAATCTTTTGCACGCTAGTGCTGCAGACTCTTCCTCTATCCAATGGCATGTGACTCCAAGGTAACTTTTCTGATGAGCTGACCAACAATCAGTAGCAACAAATTTGACTTTATCCAATGCTGCAACCAAAGTCATCTTCATGTGATCAGCAGCTTCACAGATTCTGGCACGGACACCGGGTCTGGAGATGACTTGAGGTTGTAATGTGGTAATCAATTCTTTGAAAGATGGCTGTTCTACCCTGCAAATGGCTGTAGCCCCTCACATATGAAATTGATGACAAGCTGTCAACAGTTACTTGTGGAACATGTTTGTTTGCAGCTCTCAACATCAGGTCTGGTAACTTGCGTATTTGCTGAGAGCTTGTTTGGTGTGGCTGTGGTCTTTCGCTGACGAGATGTTGATGCCACAGTGATGTTGCACTGCTCAATCTTCGATGGATGTTTCCTCTGTAGAGATAAATATTATCATACGTCAGGTTCATACATTACTTCATAACATCACTGTGATTAACACTACAGGAAAACACATTTTTAAAACATCATTCAACTAGAGTCGGGGTGGGCAACTCCAGGCCTCAAGGGCCGGTGTCCCTGCAGGTTTTAGATGTGTCCGTGATCCAACACAGCTGATTCAAATGGCTAAATCACCTCCTCAACATATCTTGTAGTCTTCAGAGGCTGGTAATGAACTAATCATTTGATTCAGGTGTGTTGAGCCAGGGTGAGATCTAAAACCTGCAGGACACCGGCCCTGTGGATTCTTTCTTTATAACTTCAGGTCATTCAGGTAAACTAGTTATGTTATGTGCAACACTGTCATGTGCCACTCTGGTTTTATGTTTCAAATTCATGTAAGACATCCAGAGTACTCTGATTACATTGACAAGGACATCTCCAGTTTACATGGGAAACAATTATTTCGTGTTCTTGAGATTACTTATTTACATCACTTTTCACAAAACGTACATACAGGTCTGATTCAAAACTGCATTTCTATTTTTTTAATGCATGTTGAAAGGGCAAAAATATTCCTGAGATACTGTTAACATTATTAAATTTGAAGGCTATTATACAGTGGTATTACTTTAAACTGAGTAAAACGGTATTTTGATAAAAGT